AAAAAAAAAAAAAAAAAAAAAAAAAAAAAAAAAAAAAGAAAAGAAAAGAAATCTGTAAAAGAGTGAAGAAAATAGCAGAGAGGAGGGTTCATGATCGCGATTGTCGTGCGAGTTCATAAAAGTGTCGTTCTCTCTGTGTGGTCTACCGGTCTAACAAAGGCCTTCGGTCGATAAATTAGACGAGCCACGAAAAAAGACGATGCACCCGATATATACGAGAAATAGCCTGACACGTATGAACACACGGTGGTAGGTGGAAAAGTATGTGTCTCCTCTAAGAGGGACGTACACTTCGGTCGCAATGAAAAAGGTTCTGCGGTCACCGAGATGAATAGAACGACAAGTGACCAAGATACGTAGGGCGAAATCGTTCCTATCAAAGATAGAAAAGGATCTTCTATCGTCGTGGAAAACAGCGTTACTGGCAATATCTCACGAGGAGATGTTATAATCGAGGATTTTCGCACGACCGGTCGTGCAGAAAAAAAAAAAAAAAAAGAAGAGAAATGGCAATGTCCCGAAGGTATTATTAAAAAGTAATACCTAAATAATAATTGGGAATTGAAACAAGAAACATTTCGACTCAGCAGCCTGTGTTAGATTCGTAAGGGCAATTTTCGCGATATTACGAGTAAATGTTGACAATTCGTGTTGAAGAAAATCGTTTTAAATGTGGAATTGATTAAGTGAAGAGCTGCGTACACATCGACAATAATTAGTAGGCATTAACATGTGTAACTACGTGTTGTGTATCGTGTTGTAATTGTACAAATATTTCAAAATTCACTTCCACAAGACATTGCAGTCTGTTCTGACCTTCTAATTTCTCGAATAAGTTGCAGCCAAGCAGAAGCAATTGATTGCGTGTATATCACGTTCAATTAGATATATTATGAAATATATTGTAGACGTATTGAATTATAGATTTCGTTTAATCAGTTTCTTCCTGATTTATTGTAATTAAAATTAATATAGCAAATTACTAATTTTAGTACTAAAAATTATTAAGTTTATTATTAAATTTAATTATTAAATTAATAATTAAGTTAATTATTAAATTTAAGTTTATTCAAAAAATTCTTAACAACCGGTCTTTCGTATTCTATATTTAAATCGTTGCAATTTAATAATTTAAATAATAATATATATTTAATAATTTAAATGATAAATCAGGTTGTCAGATAACAGAAAACAATATCAATTTTCGACGAAAGTAAAGGAAAAGAATCTGAAATCTGATTTGACTGTTTTAGTATTTATTAAAAAATCCTTCCAACAGTGGCCCAGCAAAAACTTATCTAATTAAACACTTTGCGGCTTTCAAAAAATTCCAAAATTAAGCAGTTCCAAAATTCACTCCGAAATAAAGGCAAATAAAGTTGACTTTATAACATAAAGTTATAATATAAGATTATAATATAGGTTGGAATATAAAGTTGTAATATAGGTTAGAACACAAAGTTATAATATAGGTTAGAACATAAAATTAAAACATAATATAGGTTAGAATATAAGGTTATAATATAGTTTGGAATATAAAGTTGTAATATAGGTTAGAACACAAAGTTATAATATAGATTAGAACATAAAGTTATAATACAGGTTAGAATATAAGGTTATAATATAGATTAGAACCTAAAGTTATAATATAGGTTAGAACATAAGGTTATAATATAGGTTAGAATGTAAAGTTACAATATAAGTTGGAATATAGTTGTAATATTAGTTAAAACCTAAAGTTATAATATAGATTGGAACACAAAGTTATACTATAGGTTAGAACATAACGTTATAATATAGGTTAGAACATAAGGTTATAATATAGGTTAGAACATAAGGTTATAATATAGGTTAGAACATAAGTTATAATATAAGTTGGAATATAGTTGTAATATTAGTTAGAACCTAAAGTTATAATATAGATTGGAACACAAAGTTATAATATAGGTTAGAACATAACGTTATAATATAGGTTAGAACATAAGGTTATAATATAGGTTAGAACATAAAGTTATAATATAAGTTGGAATACAGTTGCAATATAGGTTAGAACCTAAAGTTATAATATAGGTTGGAATGAAATTATAATATTTGTCAAAATAAAGACAAATAAAGCCAACTTTACAATGTAAAGTTACTTAATAATATAAAGCTTGGCTTTATTTGCCTCTATTTCATGTTACATAATTTTTCGAATTTTTCGAAACAGCGAACCACCGACCATGTTTAATCGGGCAAACTTTTTCCAAGCTTCGCTCCACATTACTCTCTTCGTTTCTGCATATACTTGCTCAGAACCGTTGCCGATTTCCCTTCCACTTGCAAACCTAACCTAAAACCTTCCCTCTGTCTGCACATAGGGTGTCCGAGATATCTTCCATGCGTTTGAGAATAAATAAATAAATAAATAAATAAATAAATAGCGAGTATCTGTCCAGCATAATAGGCATAATAGATAAATAAATCGACGCATGGCAGGTAGTGTGTGGAGAAAGGTGCGATTTCTCCTTGGGTGGTCCGCGTCTATTTCACTGGGGACCGCAACGAAAAATCACCGACACGTCCAACGAAACGTAATATCATCATTATATATATATATATCTGCTGGCACAGATGCGTCGCCACGGGGATACGAGCGTTTTCGTTTTTATATTGCGGTTACCGCGGCCATTGTTGCTCGGCCTCGACGAAAGAAATGGCTGGAGGGACCCCGACAGAGAAGAGATCTCGCGTCACCGCGGGGTTGGATCACTCGTTTGCTACCCCTGTCGACAGCTACCGTAATCTGTACACGCTTCCTGCGTAGATTTCTCACTTGGCCCGCTCCCCTCTTCCGGCATCATTACATGCGAGATGCGCAGTCCAACGTGAATGAGGATCTGGGACAAATTGAGCCGCTTCTTCTTGAAACGAGTTCGGTGAAGTTTTTGTTAGGGAGTGAATTTAGTGTTATTATCAAGGGCGAGAAGATTTGGGAAAGGAAGAAGAAGATTTCGTTCAACTTCTCTCAAACGAGCTGAATTTCTCTTTTGATGAGAAATCTTTTGTTAGTCTGTAGATTGCAAGATTAATATTCGATTTAAAAAAGAAAAGGTACAAATAAACGTTTTTTATTAATTTTGCAGGTTCGTCTCAGTTTGTTAGCTCGATGTTAAAAGATTTATCAATTTAAATGAAAATGTATAATTACGGATTTATTTTAGCAGGAAGCTGATTTTTGGCTCACCCTGTATAAAATCGATCAGCAACACTTCTGTACACTGTTATTAAAACAGTCTTTAATTTTGGAGTCTTTTGAGAAAAATGATATCTATATTTTTTCTTCTTTTCAACAATCTGAAATTCAGGATGCAGGTTGTACCTCAAAAATTCAAATACAACGCCCAATATAAATAACGATCAAAGAATTTGAGGCAAGAGTAAAGTCCATCCCATTCTGCACGATCGTCACCTATTTCCGGATCAGGTACAGCTGCAACGTCAGCGCGCAAATCAATTGACAGACGTCCCCCGAAATTCACGATTTGTCTCGACCACGTCATCGTCAAAAATTCTCGAAACACGAGCCTGATCATCGTCGGCATCATGTTGGAACCACTGATCGTGCTGACAGTATTGAACTGTTTCTTCATGTTCAGCTCGACGGTGACAACCTGTGCATTGTGGTAATCGAGATTTTTTTCACGATCATCCGTTTCTACACGTATTTCTCCTCTTCGTTCTTCGTGTCATCGTGACAGGTGGCAGTATCGAACTCATCGTTGCTGCTTCAAGAAAGATCCCCTCAGCACCAGGTACAATTTGTCCAAGTCGAAGAGCAACAACAACAACAACAATTCGTCGAAAAAGACTGTACACTTGAGACAGGATAACGGTGCGAATCTTGTCGCTCGTAGGAAATCGAATTCGACGATGAACCGAGAAGGCAAGAGCAGGAGGAGCTCAAAACAGAAATCGAGATCGGGTGCGAGACATCAGTCGAGGAGCAAGACACCCAGCGACGAACGACTGTCGTCCATGTAAAGAACTTCCCTTGGAAATTTTTTTATAGTTTCAGAGCGTTTTTTTTAATATATTTAGCGTAGGAGTGATCGAAGAGGAAGAATTTTCATGATCTGACTTTTTGTAATTTTGGTAGATTTCGAAGGAAATTCTCCAACCTTTTTTAAAAATATTTCGACCTAACTGAAAGTGCCTGAAAAGATAAATGACAGCATTTCAAATATATTACTATATATAAAATAATATCATTCATTTTTAAGTTTTTCAAAGAATTTCCCTCGAAATTTAAAAGCAAATAACGAACGTGCACATTTCAGAGACGCGATGGAAAGTTGGGAGCTCGAGGACAGAACGAGAATGTCGGAGGCGTCGCAGACAGCAAACGCAGACCCGAAATCGGCGGTGGTGATGGAATACTCGACCGTGCAGAAGATCGTCCAGATTCTAGACAATGACACGGACATTTGTGCGACGAAAATGGTCATGAGGGATCTCAGTGGTAGGCAAAACGCCGAGGAGAGGAAAGCATCCATGATCGAGTCGCAATTCGAGCCTCAGCCTGTGTATACAACCTCTGAATACACACCGACGACTCAGGATTAGTGTAATCGAACTTTCAGAAATAAATGTAGCAGATTTCTAACAAACGATTTCACTTCACGTTCATTGACATTTCATTGACAATTACGACAGCGTATATCTCTGGAATAAATATTTAATTTCAACGAATCCTCCCCCTTTCGAAGACTCGTTTTTTTTACGCCAAATAAATCCGCAATTTTCTCTTTAAACAAATTTTCACAGATTAATTTCTGTTGAAATGAAAGGAAAGAAAAAGAAACTCTTGGCTCGCGTAAAAAATTGATCTTTCTCTGGATAAATTTTCGTCAATCGTCTGATGGACGTTCTCTCGCAGACACACGATATTTACGATCCTCTTCGATGTTGTTCAAGGCAGTGTGCCCTGTGCGAGACGTACGGCGAACAAGAGTTATCGTGGTGTTCAAACAGCACTGAACAATTCGACAAACCTTTGCCCTCGAAATCTTCGTTCTTTCGCGGTCGCGAAACTCGTTCGAATCTAGCTCTTTCAGGCTGGCAAAAATTTGGAAAAGCTGTGAAGGTTAAGATCGAATTCTAGAGGATCTAGGATAGAATTTTGTTACCATTTTGAGAACAAAGAGAACCAGATGCATGCTATGCAAACGGTGTTGCATGCAGTGAGACAATCGAACATTACGACAAACGCCGTCTCGGTGTTTTCACACGTTCTTCGTCGAAATTTAAATGGTTTGCCAGATTTATAGGTTTCCTGCGACGTCGACGGCAAACTTCCGGCGCTCAGATAATCGCTTCTCTATCTCGAACTCTCTCGAGGAAACTAAATTTAATTCCAATTATTCTAAGATCCCGAAGAATGATCATTTCCCTGTGTATTTGGGATTTATATCGAGTAAAGTTTAAGATGCCCGAATGAATTAATTAGGATGCTTTTGACAAGCAGTATTTAATCCTTCTAAATTCTCAGGAACGATTACTTCTTTTAATCGAGATTTTACAAACCTTTGGCAATTTCAACGTTATTTATAGATAGCTGAAGAAGGAAAGAAAATATTGGAACATCAGAAAATCCCAACAAGATTTAATTATTCTACATTTTCCCAATTATGGTACTACTTGAAGTATAGTTTCAACTAGCTTGACATTCAGATATTCGAATGAACGAATCGTTCGTTATTCCGAATATCTCATAAAAGAATGATTATCTTCCCCAATTGTAATACCGTTGAACAAAGTTTCAAGA